ATTTGCAGTCGAGATATTGTCAGCTCTTTGATGAAGGGTGGCTGCAGCTGGCTTTTCCATTTTCTCCAAATCTATCTGAATAAGCCAAAAAATTACATAGAATTTTCAGTTTGCTCAAAAAATAGAAACAGAAGATGCACTCTATTAATCACTACTTCAACATGTATCATACCCCATCATTTGCGATTGCTCCAGTGGCATCATCTTCCACATTAGTTAAGGTTGCACTTCTAGTCTGCAACCCAAGCAGTCCAGCATCAATATTTTGCTCATTGCCAAGAATAGATAATTGCTCATGTTGTCTCAAATACTCCGGATTCTTGCCTTTTCCAGAGTCCACTCCTGACTCCAAATTCCATGACTCCTTGGTTCGGAATAGTTTTATTGTGCTGTTAGACACATCTTTTGAAGAAGAAGACCATAGCTCATTAGGATCACTCAGACTTACTGGGCCAAATATTGAGTCATCGTTGCTACAAAATTGCCACTTGTGAGGATATGCGGTGCAATGGATATCATTGGTTAGAAAATAAAGAACTAAAAAGGGTAAAAGAAAAACATTTCAAAGAATAAAATAGCCTTTCTACAGGACCAAGAAAAAGAAAAAAAAAAAAAAAGGAACTCCAATGCACTATAAGATTATCCGACAACTTTGGTTATAGTGATCATGTAGTAACTGTTATGGATAAGATAATATAAACCGTTATTGGATTTTTGCAAACTAAAAGATAAGGGCAAGAGAATACGAACAAGATAAAGGCATACTACAATCCCAAAACTTCAGTTACATTGCACTTATGTACGTGTGTATATAAGTGGAAAAAAACTAAACTAGATGATTATTGTTTCTCTGAGGGAGTGAATCAATCAATTGGACATGAAGAATGCCTTTAAACAACACAAGGGAGGAGATCTATGAGAATCTGTTTCGCTTCTTCTAGAAAACATGACAACAACGGTGTCTTCCAAAAGGATATAAAATAATGTCAGGTCACAACATTCTTTCCTCTTCATCATGCTTATCATTTGACTTCAGTCAAGAGAAGAGTTTCTGATTGTTGTTGTTCTTCTTCTTTTTTTAAATTTAATAATCTTCAATCAAGGAGTTTAGAGAATAATTACATGTGTACCTGAAAATTCTATCTAGATCATCAAAACTTCCAATATTAGCCCATCCATAGTCAACAAAATCACCCTGTTCTTTACCTTCTTCACCTTCTTCAGTACTTCGAAAATTTTTTGCACCTTTGGTTGTTGCAGCTATCAACATACAAGCCATTAAAAGAATTAGTACACAGTCGACCCTTTATACTATTGCTAGTCAATGCTACAACACATAATCATCTAGAATTTACTGAAAATCAAAAACATAATTTTACCATGTCTTGGTGAATTATATTTGCTAATTTCAGTTAATTCACGAGATTCTTCAGTACCATTGGCATCTTGGTCAATTCGACAAGTTTTGGACAAGGATAAGTCAACCAATGGATCATTGCTGAGGTTTGAGGCAGAGGTTCCTTCTTCGTTGACAGGAAGGCTTTCCAGCTTTCTTCCATGGGCATCATCAGCATTAGTCCCAGGTGACTTGTGCTCCACAAGCTTCGTGTATGCTGTGTCTTGATTCCATTCTTTCTTGTCATAATAATTCTCACTAGCCCCCGGATAAGGCACAATATGATCATCACTACCAGCAGTCTCACCCCATATTATGTTTGAAAGCTGAAATTTCCACAGAAATTTAAGATAATTTAAGAGAGGAAAATTTTAGTAGTTCCCTAATTATCAATTGTAATCGACAATGATTTTATTAGCACTTCTAGTCAAAAACAAGGAAAGAAAACAATGTACCACATCATAGAATCACTTAAATGTTCAACCACATAACCAGTTAGATATAATACAATGAACTTTATTCTGCTACCAATCCTAAAATGCTTCATTTAGATCCGCCCAAAATGCTTTCCCCAGTCCACGAGTTACTAATTGGCATCCCTAAATGCTGATATGGATATCAGATCTATCAGATTCATTTCTCAACCTTGCAATAAAATTAAAGTATTCCATGGTAGTACTAAAAACCAAACAAGCTAATCAATACCTAGAAACACTGTCCACTCACAAAAAATCACATTAAAGAAGTAAAACGGAAGGAGGAGGAGTTACCTCTTCGTCGTTCCAATCAAACATAGCTGAAAAACCTTGACAGAATCTCTAATCCAGAATTCAAATCCAACAACTGATCGAAGATTGATCCGCACATCGCCGAATTTAGCGGAAAAGAAAGTTAAGGAAAGAAAATCTCGAAATCTGCAACAGAAAGCATCAAACTCCGGAAACACAACGCCGATCTAAAGCCGGGAAACGTCCAACAAAAACAAGACGAACAAGAAAAGACACAGAATCAGAAGCGAAAAATTCACCAAAAAAAAACCAAATGAACAGAGGTTTAGAAAGATTTGGGATTGAAGACCAGAAATGGGTTTGGTTTGGTTGAAACTGGGAGGGAGGGTGAGCACGTGACGTCACGTGGGTTCTGTGAAGCGGAGTGGAGGGGAGCGAGCAAGACGACACGTGTGAAACGTATCTGAAGTTCGTTGTGGCTGGGAAGACTGATCAAATACTGGAATTTGATTGGACGGAGGTGAATTTGAATTTCATTTGGGTTTCATTTCGCATTTGGGGAAGAGGAGTGGGCCCGGGGTCAAGACTTAATTTGTGGTGGAGGTTTGCTGACCTGTCGCTTTTACTCTGCCAACGTGGACTTCAACCTAACTCCTTCCTTAATTTGTGGTCAAGACTTAACATTTGATTTTGCAATTTTAGGAAATTAATCTTTTAAAAACAAAATATTAATTTAATTCTAGTAATTTTTTATGTTAATATATGTTACCATAAAAATGAATTAAGCAAATATAATTATATTTATTTATAATAATAAAATAATAAAATAATTTAGTATATTTGCATTGTTATATTATTAATTTTAATGTAGTGTTAATAATTATAAATTTGATTTAATTTAATTTTCATTAATTAAAAAATATATTAGTAATTAATTAAGAATAATATGTCTTAAATTTTAAGATTGTAATTTGAATAATTACCTTTAAATAAATTAATTTAATAAAATTTTACTTCTTATCCTAAATAACTAGTACAATAATTAAATTATCGTTGTATTTTCAAATTTTAATATAATTAATTTATATTACTAATTTGAGTATTAAAAATATATTTATGTTAGTCAATGGTTTCATATGAATCACTATAATGTGATTACTTTTATAGGAAATAATTTAAATATATTATTCATAAAATAATCAATTATAAAATTATTTTATATTAATTTTCATTTAATGTAAGAACAATACAATAGGCAATTAAATAAATGAAGGAGAAGGTAAGCTAAATTCACCTTAATATTCAAAATATTTTCGAGACCGAATTAATTGGTCAAAGTCAACTTAGAGAGTAAATTGGTCATTTTACCCCATACAAAATAAAAAAAAAAAGGAAGAAAGAAAAGAAAAGGGGAGAAAAATGAGATAAGGGTTTAGAAATTCTTAGAGAGAGTCGAAATCCCGCTTGAGTTTGATCTTGGCAAATGTTCATCTTTTCGTGCTCCTCCTCTCGATTTTGATCTTATTTGTAAATGCTCGATTTGAGTACTTTCAAATGGTTCAATAGTGGCCACCCGACCACATGCACCTGTTCCCACGGTCTTAATTCACCTCCAAGTAAGTTCACTATTCATGGTCTATGGCCAAACAACTACTCCAACATCATTTAAGCCGGAAAGAAATCAGAAATAAAATAAAATATTAATAATTTTAGAAAAATGAGCGAATTTGAGATTTATATTTTTAGAAAAATAAAAAAAATTTCATCCTCAAATCAAGTAAAGTTCACTTTCAAATTAAATTAGTTATTTTTTAATTAAATTGAAAAAAATGCAATAATTAGATAATAATATCAATCATTTTATAATTAAATTGAAAAAAAATGCAATAATTAGATGATAATATGAATTTTAAGTAGTGAGCATCTTACCTTTTATACATCATCAAACAAATTGGTTCAATTTATTGCTTAAATTAATTAAAATCCCAAAATAAACAAATACTTTTATCAATTAAAAAAAACATTTATAAGTGAGTCATCATATTTTATGTATTATGAATTATTTTTATTTTATTAAAAATGAGTACTTTAAATAATTAATTCATTGATTTAAACAATAAGATAAATTTATGCATATTTAAAATAAAAAATTAAATTAAATATCTTCAACAATTTCGCGGTCCACTTTTTAATTTAAACATTTACGTTTTTTTAATGCAAATATTAAGATAATTTTTTTAAGTTACCCCACGCGCAGGTTCGAATCCAGTCGTGTACATGAAATCCTAAATTTAACTCTATTATTTATTATGAGAAGAAATTAAAAAAAAATAAGGATGAAAAAAAAACCAAAATCAGGTAAGTTTGTTTTTTCTTTTTTATATTTAATTGGTATTTTGTTTGCAGTAAAAACTAAAAAAAAAATTTTACAGCACATGGATTCACCTCATCCTTATAATAATAACAAAGAGGTCGTCAAATAAAACTCGAAGCCTGAATTAAAAAAATTTTAAAGCCTTCTAATGGCGACTCTGAAAGATCTCCCTATAGTATTGTTGATCGAAATTCTATCGAGGCTTCCGACAGAGTCTCTATTCAGATTTAAGTCGGTTTGCAAATTTTGGTACGCTTTGATCAACGATCCTATAAATTTTTCTTTTCAAGATAAATGTATTTTTATCAAGCGTCGAGTGATGGTCAATTTTCAACACTTTACGTATATACCCTCCATCATCAAATTTTCCCTTGCCCCTGATCGATCTATGTCCATTCTCGATGTCAACAATCCCTTCAGTTATACTGCATTTTTCGTTATTTGCGGCCATTCTCATGGCTTGGTTTGTCTTTCCTTCAATAGGGATATTTTCCTATTTAATATGACGACCGAAAAGTTTCATAAGCTCCCGTTATCAATTCTTCATTATCCTGGGGATATTTATGACATAGATTTTTCGTCCACAAATGCGGTTGGATTTGGATACGATTCTAAATCTAGAGATTTCAAAGTGGTTAGGGTTGTAGAATTTGGGAGCCAATATGGAGAAACTAATCTCCCGGCTAGAGTCGAAATTTACGATTTAAGGAAAGAAAGATGGAGGGAAATTGAATCCACTGTTTGTGGGCGTGTAACGAGGGCACCTACTCCTCAGATGCATCATAAAGGAACATATTATTGGTGGGCATACAAAGAAGGAAAAACTAATATTCTACACACGTTCGACATGAGCAAAGAAGTTTTTGGCGAAATTCCAATACCGAACGATGTAGTGAATGAGCGTATGGAGTATATAAGTATGGGGACGTTGAATGGATCAATTGTTATATTTCACTACTCAAAAACAGGGAATGAAAAAACGTTCTCGGTTTGGGAGATGGAGAAAGATGTCGTCTCATGGTCAAAACTAATGACAATTGGTCCTGTTTTTGGAGTCGAGAAGCCATTGTTGTTTGTTAATTCAGATGAACTTTTAATGGAAGCCAACGAAGGACGGGTGATTTCTTACAATATTAAAACTCACCTGACCAAAGTTCTTCCAATAAAAGGGCTTCCATGTGTGTTCGTTGATACTTATTTGGATTATAGTTTAGTTCAATACTGAACGATGTAGCGAAGGAGCATATAAGTAAAGACTTGAGTTACTATAAACTTCCTCTTACTGACAGGTTTTCTAGGGCCGAGTCTTTTGGACACGGAATGCGTTCTAAGTTGTTGTGAACGTTTCTTCATCCTTTAAGCTTCTCCTTTCTTCAATTAATTTGTTGGACTTCCTTACTATTCAATTTTATGAGTTTAAAGTTGTTGAGAATAAATTTTTGTAATCTTATTTTAATTTTAGGAAAATTCATTATTATTATTTTAGTAATAAAAAATGATTATTATTCTATCCATCGGAAGAAATTAAAGAATATATATATATATTAAATTTAGGCAAATGGCGAACAAAGTACAACCTTTGTTCGATATTTTAGTCACTTTTGACTATGTTTTTTAGGCTCACAATACTTTGTTCTACATTCGAATTCGAGGATTCTATTGACATGACTAAGTTTAGGGCATGACTCTGATACCATATTAGTTGAACATGACACTCCACAATGGTATGATATTGTTCATTTTGAGTATAAGCTCTCATGGCTTTACTCTGGGCTTCCTCAAGAGGCCTTATAATTGAGATAGTATTCCTTGATTATAAACCTATGATCATTTCCTAAATTAGCGAAGGTGAGACTTTCATCCAATAAGAACAATTACTAGGTCTATCTCACCTATAATGTGTATGATTACGAGGCCCAATAGGTAACAAAAAATGCTTAGAGGTTAGAGGTTGAATCACCAACCGTCGCAGAAGGAAAAAAAATGCTTAGGATGCCCGAGGGACCTAGGAAAAATAAAAAATAAACAAAATAAAAAAATTACATTAATAACTTTAAAATTTTCATATAAAAGATAATATTATATTCCTAATAAAATAATCAAAATTATGTACATGATCATCAATATATTTGCTTCAACCATGTAAGGTTGAATTTCCGGTCAAGTTAAAAGTGGAACTATTATCACAGTACACCACTGTAGTTCCAACTGGGATATGATCGAGTTTTTCTAGCATCCTTCTTAACCATATGGCTTGACAAGCACGAGCGGCAGCAACAATGAATTCAGCTTCATCCACCAATCCACCATTCCTTGACTGATATTGCAGTCATTTTATGAAGTAGCAGCAGCTCCAGGCCAAGAGTTAAGAGAAAGTAACATACAGACTGTGCACCGAGATAACAAATTGCAGTAACATTCCAATCATAAACCCCATCGGTTGTGTTTATCTTTCATCCCCAGCCTAAGAAGAGCCAATGAGGCAAGTCCATTAGCAAAGCAAAACCCAGGTGATATTCTGTAGAAATTCACACTCTCGTTTCGAGGATTCTACGTTCACACGTTCTCGTTTGACATCTGATACAGCTTAAAAACGAAAATTCACTGCTAGTGATTCGTCTCCATCGCACCCGAGTGACTCACGCGTCAGTTCCACTAGTTCCTGTTTCACCAAGTTGAATTTGAACCCGACGCCGAGTTCTTTCGCCAATTGACTCAGTGACTCGCCGGCTTGTTTCAACCTCTCGTCTCCGCCGTTCTCCGCCACAACTGTCATCAATTTCACGACGACCTTCCCTTTCTGACGACCTGAGAGAAGGTGGATTAAATTCATATACTGGCCTCCCTTCCTGATATCGAAATCCACAACAACGTGCAATTTTCGATCCTCTCCTTTATTGCCTCAAGAATGGCGAGATTCCCCGCCATGAAAGTAAGCTTAAAGCAAGAAGAAACATCTTAAAGCGACTGAGTCATCGTCGAGTGCTTGGCGCCGAAATCTCCGCCATAAGAGGCAAAAATTATGCTGGATTTACCCACAATTTCAAAGCGAAAACCATATTCATATACTCTGCCAATCTCTGCACACAACTACCTCTCACATTCGAAATCTTAACCACCGGCGCAAGAATCTCATCCATAACCTCCAATTTTCCCTCAGAAATCGCAACAGCAGCCTCGATTACAAACTGTTTTCAAGAATTGGAAGACAAAGAAGCTATAGAGGATGACATAGACGAAGAACAAGAAGACGAAACAAAGGTAATCGGCGAAGTCGTAGAAACCGACTTCTGATTCAGCGGCGCCGTCAGACTAATTAGATTATACATCGTCTCACACCAAGTGCTAGTTGAACTCGTAATCACAGACACAACATCACTTCCATCATCGTTGTCGTTATCTTCAAGAAGCTATTTCTCCAACTCCAGACAGCGATGATTCATCATCATCTTCTTTTCCGAGTCCAGATTCTGCAAATTCGGAGGTCCACCGCCGATGAGAATTGACTGCATCTCTGCTGATCCTCTACCTAATGTACTTTTTCTATCCTCCAAATCTTTCTTAATCATGTGCCACATAAACCTCTTCATCCAAGCGATTTTTTCTTTATGCCACTTCGTATTGATGTGGTGCCACATAAGCAGCAGGTTGTACCACATAATCTGTTGAGTCCACCTTTTGTTCTACCATCTCTTCAACATATGCCATAAAGAAGCGGTTGTTCAAAAGTTTAACCAAAATGAGCTTGTAATTATTTTTCTTTACTCTTCTCGGGACATTCATACTGAAAATGACTAAGGTCATGACAATAAAAACACTCACAAGAGTTTTGCTAAAACCTGGTCTCCCATGTCCTCGTCCTCTACCTCGAATTATGCCACCGTCACGATTTGTTCTCCCTGTACTGCTATCAAGAGTGATCTTCAATGATCTGATATCGGCAGTGATTTGATGATATTCAGAAACTAAAACATAAAAATAACAACTAAATCTTTTTCAATAGCGCCGGCAGGAAGGAGTACTCTCACTTTCGGTATGACACTGGCAAAGGAAGGAACCAGGTCGGGTCAGTTGAAAGCAGTTGCAGTTGGGGAAGGCACTGATCTTGGATTGCAAATTGGGTCACGGGTCGGGTCACCCTCTAGAAATATGTGTTAGATTCTTATGTGTAGTGAGTGACGATTTCTTGAACGTTTAAATATAATCTATAATGTTTTAAATAAGTTCATTATTACTATTTTATTATTAAAATTCATAATTATTCCTTAACTATGCATTAAATTTAAAAAAAAAAAAAAAAAAAAAAACAAAAATCCACTCATCACAATTTTGTATATTTGATATAACGGAATATATTTAGTTATGGAATATATCTTCGATATTATATCTTTTATTTATGATTTAATTTACCGTATATTTTATTTTATTCTCAGTATTTAATTATTTTATATTTTCTATTTCTTTAACATATATTTGATATATCACAATGTTTGTTAATGTCTACATTCACTGAACCACTTGAATTAAAATTTTTACATGACCTCGTTTATTTATTGGTTATTTGAATATTTTTTAATACAATAAAATATTAATATTTTTGCAAGTTTTAATTTTTTTTTTATATTGTTATTTAATATGATAAAAAATAAAGCAAAATAAAAGAAAATTATCAAATTTTGGTAAGTTTATTATTATTATTACTATTTTAGTATTAAAAATGTATTATTATACCTTATCAAACAAGGATGCATGAAATGTGAAAAAAAAAACAAAAATTATCTAATTTTGGTATGTTATTATGTTTGCACACAAATAAATAAATAAAATAAAATAAAATGACAGCTCATTCACCTCTTCTTTATATAAGGATGAAGCGATGGTCAAATAAAACTTCAACTCTCTAATGGCGACTCTAAAAGATCTCCCTGTAGTGTTGTTAATCGAAATTCTATCAAGGCTTTCGACAGAGTCTCTACTCCAATTTAAGACCGTTTGTAAATTTTGGTACGCTCTAATCAACGATCCTGCAATTTTTTCTTTTCAAGATAAATGTATTTTTATCAAGCGTCGAGTAATGGTCGATTTTCAATACTATACGTACATACCCTCCATCATCAAGTTATCTCACGCCCCCGGTAGATCTATGTCCATTCTCGATGTCATCAATCCATTCAGAGATACTGCACTTTTTGATATTTGCGGTCATTCTCATGGCTTAGTTTGTCTTTCGTTCGATAGGGATATTTTCCTCTTTAATCTGACGACCGAAAAGTTTCGTAAACTTCCATCATCGATTCTTCACTATGGACATCCCTATAATATGGATTCTTCATTCACAAACGCTGTTGGATTCGGATACGATTCCAAATCTGGGGATTTCAAAGTAGTTAGGATTGTACAATTCCGCAACCAATATGGAGAACTTTATCGTCCACCTGGAGTGGAAATTTGCGAGTTGAAGAAAGAAAGATGGAGGGAAATTGAATCCTCTACTTGTGGGCGTGTATCGATGTCGTTTGCTCCTGAGATGCATCATAAAGGAACATATTATTGGTGGGCATACAAAAAAGAAGAAGGAAATATTATACACACGTTCGACATGAGCGAAGAAATTTTTGGCGAAATTTCAGTACCGAACAATTTAGTGGAGGAGGATGTGGAGTATATAAGTATGGGGATGTTGAATGGATCCATTGTTATATTTCACTGCTCAAAAACAGGGAATGAAAAAACATTCTCGGTTTGGGAGATGAAGAAAGATGTCGTTTCATGGTCAAAACTAATGACAATTGGTCCTGTTTTTGGAGTCGAGAAGCCATTGTTGTTTGTGAATTCAGATGAACTTTTAATCGAAGCAAACGAAGGACAAGTGATTTCTTACCATATTAAAACTCACATGACCAAAGTTCTTCCCATAAAAGGGCGTCCATGTCAGTTAGCTGATACTTATTTGGACTATAGTTTGATGGACTATAATTTGTATTAAGATATAATATTATAATAATTAGTCATGAAATATATCTCAGATATTCATAATCAGTTAATATAAGGACTTTTTGGCTGTGAGGTTATCACGGTCGTACTTTTTTAATTGTGTGGCGTTTTTATCATGACAAGCTCACGAGAGGCCTCGATTGAAAATGGAAATGGGAAAACCAAACTCCATATATATTTTTCGGCCGTCGGATCTTAGACTGGGTTTACGGTAAAATTAAATTATTACAAATCTAAAAATATAGGTACTAATTTGATTAAATTGTTATAAATAAATAAAAAAGAAATATTTTTGAGTAAGAATTGTTTTTAATTTTTGAAATTCAATTATATTATTAAAGCTAAAT